CTCGTTTCCGTTTCTATAAACATATCTCAATGCCACGTGCCCCACACATTGCGAGGAATTTACCTGCTAGATGAGCGACTATTAGCTTCGCAAAAGTAAATGCTTCCGGGACACATATTTATATGGACTTTTTGTGGAACTCGTGCCCAAAGTTTGCAGGCAACTTTCAGTTTCACCCTGTAGAGTACATGAGGATGTAGACTGCATTAATGAAGTTCACAGTAGGTTCAAGTGGTGGGCTCTGCGCTTGTTAAGAACTATGTTCCATGGAGTTAGTGAAGTGACTTACATTTTTGTTTTATATGGTATAACTCATAACAAATGCAGGTTTCTCGACTACAAATTAATTGTAATATACTGTCGCGAAACACCTTAAACTTAGATCTAACTGAGTTTCACCTCCGCTGTGCTGCTTATCGGAAAAAATCAACCTATTCGAAAGCAGATTTGTCCCTTAGCTTAATTATAGACCCCACCATGAAGAGGTTTGTGGGATTGGAAGCACAGATCAAAGTATTCTTAACCCCGACATTAACTGGAGGTCAGTGTTCAGTTTCAAGCTCCGGTGGCTTTACTCCCAGAGAAAGAGCACCAGGTACCGACTGGATTGGAGCCTGAGGGGCGCAAGAACGAGTGTGAACGCTGCGAAAAAGACAAAACTATCTTATCACCGCCGGGAATTGAACCCCGACTCCTTGGCAGTCCAGCATGCAGCCCTTCGATATATGGAATGAGTTAAGGAAGCAAATCAAATTAAACATTAATGTGAGTTAATTCTTGGGCAAGGTTTTTTTTTTATCTGTAATGTTTACATTTGGATCACTCATCATGAGATAAACTTCAAATTCGTATGAACTAGATATTGTTAAAGACAAATAAGTAAAGGTGTTTAATTTCCTTGTCAAGATAATGGGCTTTTAAATATATATCGGAGCATTAATGCACGTCATTCACCTCCAAGAATTTATTTTTTGACAGCCATCATGCTACTTTAAAATTATCAGTTTTCTTTATCAGTAATCTACCTTGCATGGAAGCAATAAGGAAATTAAACTAACACGAGACTTAAAAATGTGGACTGTAGAATTATCTCAGATAAAAACATGCATATCTGAAAACTTTAAATAGCGAATCCAGAAATGATGAAACAGAAATAATAAAAACACGAATTAGTGAAAATAGAGGTAAAAGCAATTAATAGGCTACACAGGGTTTCGCACGCAGCACTTTCAGAATACGATATACACGATCAACAAATGAAAAAGAAAAAATAATACTATCCCTGTAACAAGCCATGGAGGCCCATAGGGTTGTGAGACGTGGAGGATCTCACATTTTCCAGACAATCGGCCCACAGATGGCGGTAAGTTTGTCACCATTACGCGCCCGTTGCTCTTTACATCTAGGAAGATTCCTGGTACTCATTTCTGTTAGAGGCTTAGTCGATCCCAGGGCCATAGTGTGGCTAGAAGAATTAGGTAGAAAAAAAGTAAAGCTGTTCCTGTAGCAGGCCATGAAGGTCGATAGGGTTGTGAGACGTTGAGGCTCCCAAATTATTTAGACAATCGGCTCAAAGATGGCGGTAAGTTTGTCACCATTACGCGCCGGCTGCGCTTTACTGCCCAGGAAAATTGTTTAATTAATTCCTGGTACTCATTTCTGTTAGAGGCTGAGCCGACCCCAGGGCCTAGTGCGGCTGGAAGGATTAGGTCAACTGAAACGCGCGACCTTCCGGCTTTTAGCATAGCGCCTCAACCAATTATGTTACCGCGTGCCCGGTTCATTAAAAAATCCAATGACCTCATCGGGATCACAAATGAAAGCTTACATCATGGAAGTGCTTCATGCGATAGAACAAGATTATGCACTACTGAAACCTGTACACATCCATAAACTGGAAATATTCTGCCTAGATTTTTGGACATGTAAATAGGAGGTCCACAAGAATTACGAAATAAATTTTAGTGGTAGATCTTCTTGAACCAGATAAATTATCGCTGATGTAGCAATGCTCTGAAATTACAGAATCTCTCGACTCACGTGATACAAATACTTAACTCTCAAAACACAACAATATATTTCATTTTAAAATTCTTAAAACTATTGAAGACGCGTTGAAAAAATAGATTTACACTTCATGACCGGAAACTACACGTGCTTGCGATTTGGATTTGAGGTTGTCACGAAGAGAAATATCTTCTGATGTGTGACACCGTGCAGTCTGGTAGAACTTTGCCCCCATCTATGAAGCTGAATAGTAATCCAACTATCAAACAGAGCGACTTCTAATATGGCATTATGTTCTTACGAAATGCCGGTATTGTTTTTCTAGACCTTTATAGCAGACGTCGTAAGCTATTACACTTCTCAATACACGAATGAACAGTAATGTCCATGACGTCATTCCAAAATATGGCGTGGTTTACCGGAATACACACATCACACAGACGAACATGCGGTCAACTACACAAGCTATTCTACGTAACCAGCAGCAGAAGAACAGGCTGTCGTCATGTTCATATTCTTAAAACACAACACTTTGATTCTATAATTCGTTAATTAATTTTAACTGAAAGTGACTAATTATTTTAAAAAAACTTATTTTAATTACATAAATATTTAAGTATAGTTTCGGTTTTTAATGATTAAATCCCTTTATGGCTACTTATGTTCATACGTGTAAAGTATTTTTTGCATTGTTGGCTAAGCTTTCTGATGATGACCAGTAATGGCCGATATGCAAAGACAATATTTCATAATAATCTTGTCGCACTTGATCAACATTACTATGCATTCTTCTAGGCCACACTTCATATTCTAGAAGGCATTATTTTTTATATCTAATTTCTTAAATATTTGTAGCAAAAGAAGTAGAGATTCTAACTGCAGAGGAGTGAATTTATTTAATACGAAATGTAAAACACATTCGTGTGCAAGAATATTATGAATTCGAATATATAATATAGTGGAACATATGGAATAAAAGAACAGAGTTAGGAAAGTTCTCTCTTGCGTAGATTCACTCCCTATAACTCGAGTAATACAGAATAAAATATGTCCATGATTTATTCTGACCGTCTTACAGTGCATATATTTATTCAGCTTACTTACAACAGGGCATGCAATGAAGTAGTTCGACGTACATCGAAAAGCACCTGAAGATGGTACTTTAGTGCTGAAACATGCAGTGCAAGAGAGAAGAGTAAGGTGAATAAATGTATGCACTGTAAGACGGTCAGAATAAATCATGGACATAAATCAGTGCAACAGGACGCTAAAATATAGCATTCAGAATAAAATAATTTAAACATCCCACAAATATAACTTCCGTAGATTACAATGAAGCGCTGATAAAGTGGATGTGTACAACTCACCGGAATATCTAAATTATTGTAACGTGAATGGCCAGAGAATTTCTAGGCAACGACCTGTAAACAACCTTCAGTTGAGTGCGTTAATACAATAGGACAAATGTTTATCGCGCTGTTGCTAGGCGACAGTCAGGGCGTCAATGGACTGACGAGGTAGATATCATGTGACTGGCTTTCTATGGAGTCCGTGCCGCGACCGTTGCTATGTAATCATTCGGTAAACATGTTTTAACAATAGAGGTTGTTTTCTGCGTCGTCGGTACGGAGGCTATATAACGACAGTTACAGATATAACAGGTTGTGGAAACGGGGTCGAATAACTCCACCGTGACCCCGCGAGTTGTAGTCTCAAATCTGGGACAGTAAAATATGGTCGCCAGTCCCTAGGGACTCGAACCTGAGAAAGACTGCACTGGCATATACAAAAGACAGACCCGTCCTATCGTCAGAGAGGTCACCCCACAAAAATAAGACTGTAGTTGTCAAACAGTAATACATAAATATCTGGCCATGAGCCCCAGATGGGGCTCTACACTAAGACTAATTGATTGACTGACCGTCAGTCGCAATGTAATTTTGACTTTGACTTAACAGGTTTCAGTTCTCTTAAGTGCACTTTCGTTCAAGTGAGTTCTCGGTTGGAGACAGCCACGGGAAGTTCAGTTTTGAGTTCAGCAGAGTGCAGTTGATTTCCCAAGTGATTAAACAAGAAATGGCATGAGTAGTTCATAGTGTTTTCAAGTGTTAGTTTCTGTGTTGAGATCCGTTGCTAGGAGTGTGCAACGGTCAACGGTATAAAGTGTGTAAATCAGCGATAGCGCTGTATTAAATATAATTAAGAGAACTTGTAACCAAAGTGCTAATAAATCCAACTGTCCGAACTAGAACCCGTCATTTTCGTGGAGCGAACACCCTACACTTGTCATTATAATAAGGGCTTTTCAGGGTAGGCTTATATACGTAGTAAGAAAAATAATAATAAGTGACATTAGGAAATAAAGAAATCAAAGAAAAATTGTAACTAACCAGGATGCAAGATTACAAGGCATGAGTTTTTATTTATTTTTTAATCGTGCATTTAAGGAATTATGTGAAAATGCACAGATTACCAACAATAATTTACTGAGAACCCTATTATTCGCAAATGACCAAATTATTTTAAGAGTTTGAAAATACCCTCTCCACAGATTCCTGCATCAATTTGTTCCAGTTAAGAAGCAACATATGGGCCGCGCCATAGCTCAAGCGGTTAGTCGCTGGCTTCCCACCGCGGCGGCCCGAGTTCAATCCCGGGTCTGGTTAAGTGGGATTTGTGGTGGACAAAGTGGCGCTGGGGCAGGTTTTCTCCGAGTACTTCTGTTTCCCCTGCCAATCTTTATTCCACCAATTGCTCCACAATCACCCTCACCTATCATCTGGGGCTGGTACAATAGGACAGAATTTGCCGCCGTACAAGGGACTTAGTCCCACCCCACTATCAATACAAAAATAATAAGATGCAACATGGAAAGGCCTACATCTTAAAAAAAATACTGGTCTTCAAGGGAAAGGAATCAATACGAGCAAAGACAGAAATAATTAATCACATTACGAAATAAGTGAGAAATTTTAATTATTTATGCATTGATATATACAATAAATTACACAGATCGGATTAAATTTATGAGGAAAAACAAACGAGACTTTAAAACAAAGAACACAAATGAACATTACTGAATTTCTGTAAGACCTCAGCAGTGACACAGCACTGACTGCTTGGACACTGAATCAGTAACGGAAGAAAAGCGAACTGATGCAGCAGAGATGAGTTAGCGATTTTGCAGAGAGCATAAGAAACGAACGGAATCAGGGTTCTAGCTAACAGCTGTGTATAATCATGTGTAATAACGTATTTCTTTGACGTTTCTGAGTTGTAATATTTCAAAGTATAGTCCCGGAATCGAACCCGGGCCGCCGCGATGGGAAGCCAGCGACTATCCGCTTGAGCTATGGCTCGGCCCAATTTATGAACTTAATAAAGTAAAATACATTATACCAGGAAAGCTGTGATTCACCATAAATGTGAAATCTTCGACTTCGATAAAATCCAAAGTGAAATTAATCCTTGGAGCTATAATTTGTGCAACATATCACTTATGATTTTGCTTGGCCACGCTGACGAGACGCCAGGTAGAAAAGTTGGTGATAAGGATTAGACCACATTCTACAGATTCAAGAAAGAAATACAAACGGAAACACTTTCCAGTCAGTGCATGTGGCATGATTAGCGGCAGGAGTTTCCGTAACTTCTAGTTGATGAGATCACTTATACACCCGCAAATAACCGTTCATCTTGTCATTTAGACTCGCAATTGGCAAGTTGAAAGCGATAAAATATATTGAATTTGATTACGATCTACTACGTTAAGAGCGTGGGGTTAAACTGGCTAACACAACGCTGGCAATATTGGGACGGAACAAATCCGTATGCTTCTGGTGCATTAACATCCTTAACTGCAAGTGAGTGCACAGTCTTCAGTACCAATGTTACTGTTAGTGTGTCTTTAGAGTCGGTGAAGAAATTTCCTAGAGCCTTACTAAACCAGAAGTGATCGGAAGCGAAGTGATTTTTATACTCTTCCGAAATAGCGTGAAGTTGTCTACTGAACATGAATTTGTAGTGAGCCGTTCTGTTACTTGTTTCCTTCCCAACCTCAAATTCGTACCGGAATGTTGATCCAATGTCAGGTGCCCCGCTTACGAACTTCACACCCCCAAAAAAGACCCCATCTACGCAATCGTACTCAAGTTTTGCCAGGAACAAATGGCTGTAAACGGCCATCAGGATTGTGGCATGGAATTTTGTAACCTCACTGTAGTTCCTGATCACGAAGTCGTACTTGAAGTCCTCCGAAATGAGGGCACGATGTTCTGCAAACATGTGCTCGGTCAGGTCTTTGCGGGTACAGGCCCATAAGCAACCTTCAGGGCCAATTACAGACGCGCAGACAAGTTCCTTGAAGTCGCAATGTTTCTTGTGGACTTTCATGTCGTCTGGTAGCATTCTCTTCTTGCAGCCACGTACAGAGTTGGGACAAAACTGAAGCACGGATCCTTTCTCCTCTAGGCCGAGGGGAATGATCTTGAATTTATTGAAGCAAATAGGACAATGTTCTTGTTCTAAACAGTCTGGGCATATGAGGTGGCCTTTCTTACAGCGGTGAATCGGTGGATACACGTAACCATCCGGGCATTTGTGGCATTTCAGATTGTTAACTGACATTACTTCAGTCTGCATGTTTTTCCTCTTATTTCTTGCTAACAGACGTCGAAAAAAATTCATTTAAAAATGAAGCATATCTCTGCTACATCTGAAAAATGTAAAACACGTACACGTTTTTAAACACTCAAATACGGACTGGAATTTCCGAAATATTTTACAAAGCAAATTAAATGTTCCTTAAAATTAGATGCAAAAATTCGTTTACAATGCAGTAATCTTTTTCTGAGACTGCTAAATGTTAGATTACTTAACAGTGAATACGTGATGATCTGGAAGGAGGCCGTTGCAACACATCTCAAAATACTATCACGGAATTCACCTCGGACTATTGGCTATTACTGCTCGTACAGTTTTTGAAATGGGGCATATACTCGTACATCACGTCGATGCTTACTTAATATTATTAGGGCTTATAAGCCTATGTAGGGGAAGTCCGTGTAATATGGCTCAATTAAGTTTGAATGCATATAAACTTCCTAGAGAGTGCGATAAGCAGAAATCTCTTTTGTCTGACAAGTGATGTACTTGTACATTATAGCTTATTTTGATACAAGTAATTTCTATTAATTTATGAAACCATATTTTTAAAAATTTGTCAAAGAAAAATTTACAACGGTGTAATCTGAACCGGAGGCGTGTAACATGGATGACGGTATCACGTAATTTGGACCCGTTATATGAAACACATTTAATTACTTTTTCTGTTGTTATTCACTACAAATAGCGACTACACAAATGCTATATTAGATTTTTAAACTTAAATGAAAGCAAGACTGCAGGAAATTGCAGAAAACACGTATGGAATGTGCACATTATCTCGCTGTCACAGAAATATATCTTATCACTTAAATGGCCATAACACATATTGTGCAAACAATGAATGAAAAAAAAGTAATAGGTCAATAATAATGGGCTAAAATAGGCAATATGGATATATAATAGATATAACCCTGCCGGTCACGGTAGCCAAACGGTCTAAGGCATGTACTATCTTCGCTCGCTTGGAAACCGGGATCGTGGGTTCGAATCCCACTCAGGGCATGGATGTGTAGTTTGTGTGTGTGTGCGTTTTTCTGTGTTTGTCTACAGATAGAGCCTTGCGACGAGCTGATCACCCGCCCAAGGAGTCCTACCGAATGTGTAAGATCTAGAAAAACCGAAGTGAACGGAGAAGTTCATGGAGGTAGGCCTAGGCCCACTGGGTCTGTAGTGCCAAGGAAGAAGAAAAAATATATATAACCACAACCCACTTATTCGTGTGAACATGTCATCAGTTTTCATGTGAACTATTTTTGCGCGGATAGAAGTGACCAGAAGAAGAGGAAGAAGACGTAAGAAGATGCTGGATGNAATTAAGACAACACATCTTATTATGAAATCAAACTTTACTTTCTCAAAGCTGTTTGTGACACAGGTGTTTCAAATGCCACCCCTGTATCCAACTAAACTAACTACCGAACTGCGCAGACTCCACGCGCCTGCAGGTACTCACCTGTCTATAGTCCTGTTCTTCCCAGAGCGAAATGTCTACTCGCAGTAGACATATCGCCTTAATATAATGACAGATTATGGCCGCTCATGCGCACTGACTTCGTGACGAGAGCACGCATTTGTACGCTAAAACACACCTACAATCAGTACAGTGACCCGCATATAATTTTTTGCTATCTCTTCTTGTTTGTCTTATCTCTTCATATTCCTCTTTCGTTCCTATATTCTTCTTCAATCCTATACAAAAATTATTCTGGTCATCTTCTTACTGGTCCCGGGTTCGATCCCAGATCAGGTTATGTGGTAATTGTGATGGAAAAATTGACACTGGAGTGGGTTTTCTCGGGGAACTTCGTTTTCCGCTGCCAGCTGTCATTCCATCAACTGCACCACATTCATTAGTCACAACACCATCGACACTATAGTCTCAATACAAATACCGTCTTTAAATAACCAACATTATCCTGTTGTTTGTCTTCCTAAAGACGATTGCACAATTCTGTTCTCAGAATTACCGTTTCTTTTGCCTGTGACCGGCATCATGCCAGTAATAACTATAACAGAATAACTATGTTGTAGTTATCCAACCACAGTAACTACTGACACTTGATGGTCAACAAATTTTTGTAATTTTTTGATAATGCAGCTGACCCGGGCTTGATATCTGCGCTGTAGCGCGGATGAACCATAAGTTGGGCAGTACATGGGTGCTTGATATTGTGACGTATACGCCCACTGATAGGCAACGTCTCCATAAACACCATCCCGCGGAGACTTATTCTGGGTAATCAACCCGTTGCTAGGTAAAGTCTACAACAACACGCGACAACAGCAGACGTCCATTGCTACACAATGGACGTGTTCTCCGTGACGTCCGACCTGAGACTATATAATTAGAAACTAAGAAAAAACCCGTGTGGAGGGGGTCGAATACTTTCACTGTGACCCTTCGAGTTGTAGGAGGCGACGGTAAGGGAAGTCTCAAATCTGAGACAGTAAAATGTGGTCGCGAGTCCCAAGGGACTTGAACCCGAGAAACACTGCGCTGGCAAGGGCCAGCAGCATATACGTACAAAAGACAGATCCGTCCTCTCGTCAGAGAGGCTCCCCAGAAAAACAAGACCGTAACTGTCAAACAGTAAAAAATATCTGGTCATGAGTCCCAGATATGGCTCAACACTAAGACTTATTGACTGACTGACCTTCAGTCGCAATGTGACTTTCGCAAATCATGCCTATCTTACAAATCTTATGCTACAACGGTAGGTCAGTCACTTGAATTGTTGTAAGCTTGTCCACCTCCAAGTTTAATGCTCTTATACACTGAAGTGCCTGACTTCATCTTGTCCTAAGAAAATTCGGAGTTTCGGTCGAAGGTAGAATGTCTAAGCCAAGGAAATACAAGCGGAACATCACAAAGTTCCGTCCTGTCCCCCATATGTACAGTCTATATAAAAATGATATGCTCCAAGTACCGGGTGTCTACCAAAATAATTAATCATTTTAATACCCAATCTTACTTTGTCACAAAAACGGGATTACTTTAATCTAAACTTCTTACAGTCAAAGTGTGAAGACAAGATAATATAATATATACCACAGATGGTTTCATTAACGTGCTAATACAGAATTATTGATATGATAAAGTAACGGGGATTCACCCTTTAAAATTTCATTATCAGCATATCTTTACATTTATTCTACGAATATTTCTGTCTTCTGTGATGTGACACTGTCACGTGTTAGTGACTGGACAAGGAGTTTAGATTGATAATTTAATTTTCTGAAAGCTTACAACTCGTAACTCCAAATGTTTATGAAATTTTCACTAACCTGCACGCTCTACGACTCACTACTGCAGGGATTGAATGTTTAGTAATCGTTACTTGGCCTTTTTCTTCAATGTGCCTTTTGATTATTTTCAGAATAACCTTCTTTCTAGGCAATGGCTGAGTAGCGATCACGTGGGAACCCCAACTAACACGAACGCAGCAATTGCATAGCAACGGAAGAAGGGTGTTTCTTGTGCGGCCCGCATCGAGAAGTTATAAGAAGGAAGTCAGTGTAGTGGAGTTAGTGAGTGAGTGAGTGAGTGAGTTAGAGGACTGCTGCAGTTCACTCTTTGTGAGCTGCTGTTGTGAGAAGCTGATAGTTGAGGTACGGGGACAGTTCGGGAAACCAGAATAAGGCGAAGATCACCCGTTGGAAGCCGTTACCAGGCAACAACTTGTGAAGACACAGCAGATTAAGATGACGTATTGTGTGCTCTTGTGAGCTGTAAAGTATGTGAATTAGTGAAAAGGTAGTAATTACTTACAAGTCACGGATCCATAAAAAGGTAAAATTGTCCCTGTGCTTAACGTATTAAGCACTATGTCATGAAGACGTATGGGGGAGCGGATGTATAGATCCACAATTTCTTGACATCGGCACTACTAGAGGTGAGTGGTCAGCTTCGTGCCCCGGCTGCTTCACCCCCGGGAAAGAATGCCAGGTACCAATTTGATTGCAGGTTGGATGAACCCCAGAGCCAGTCTGGATGACGTGGAGAAGCGAAAATTCGTTACTCTACCGTGACTCAAACTCCGACGTCTCGGTCGGCTAGCCCGTAGCCAGTCGCTATACCGACTGCCCTATCCCAGCTCACCATGGATCCGTAAGATAGTAAGATAGTCTATAGTCACTCTATCACCTGATAATATTCTTATTCAACACATCTAGAGCTACATTCCATATCTGGAGGACGTCTCCTCATTCAGCAACGTGTTGACGAACCCCGTAAGGATAAAATGGATTAGCGTCTACCTTCATACGATATTTGGTACCCCTATGAACAGACGCATTGTTCTCAGCTGGAAACTAAACGAAAACATTCGCATGTTCGCCATGTTTTCGTGCTCTACTATTAATTGTTGAAAAATGAAAAAGTATGAGGTTGGATTGGTCTACAAAGCACAATATCCATACCGAATTTCATGAACATACGCCAAGTTGTTCGAAATATGAGGGGGCACATACACACAAACACAGAGCACGAAAATATCATAAGCCTATTTTTTATCTTAGGAATTAATACCTACCGACAAAATTACACAGCGTCTTCGAGATTAGTAGGTGAAGCCGTAATGCTCGAAACTAGTATTTGCCAAAGGTGTGTTCGAATTTCGGCCGGAACACGTTCTGTTCTGAGATTTGCATGGTTTATCTCAGTCTCTCCAGAGAAAATTAGGAACAGTACCTCGATTAGGCCATGATCGCTTCTTTGATATCTTCCCCAATTATTTAACATCCGACGCTGTATGCTTTACGTACTGGCAGCGTCGTCAAATAAGTCACACAAAATTAAGGCGTCATATCCAAGAAAATATACACCACTGTGAGAAACTGAATGTTCACATGTAATGTACAGGTTTCTCAATTAACGGTTTCTACAGCCAGCCGCTGAAGCTAGTTTCTCGCTCGCGGATTTTTCTACCTTGAAGATGGAGGCGCTACGTTCCTCAGAAACGTCGGTTCAAACAAGATATACACGGTGCCACATCTCAGAAGACGGCCGTGAAAACATCAAATCTTACATAGTGTCCCTTTAACATGTTCAAAACATGCCAAAGCGCTAAACAAAGTGTTGCATTTTCCAAGAATTTTAGTTTCATTCTAGGAGTTATGTTATTATTTCGAACAAAATGTTCGCTGCAAATGCATACTCTCTGCGAGTAATACATTCACGCGTGTACACATGTAAAGTATTGTTACGTCCGTTCCGAGCCAGTTTGCTACAAGTTTGTCGGATTGCCTATGGAGTCGCCACTTGATGACCTGCATATCCGCCGACCTCAGAGTTTCATAACAGATGGCGCAGCACTGTAAAATTTTCAACTGGAGCAATCATCATTATCATTATCACCATCATTGGCAGAACAGCCCTTTTTGGGCCGCAGCCTTCCTTAGAATATTCTGCCAGACATATCTTTTCTTGGTTAGGTTTTTCAGTTCCTTTCCTCTCAGAGCTTTAACGTCATTGTCCACTCGATCTTCCCATCTCATGTCCATGTTCTCCTACAAAGCGTACAATTCATAATTGTACTTGATTCTTCATTTATTGTTCCTTTGACTGGGCCAAGTGTGGACCTCAAAATTTTCTTTCAAAAACAGCAAGAGATTTTTCTTCAAATGTTGATACTAGCTATGTTTCTTAATTAATGTCTTATATGATATTTCATTTTCCAGGTACGTACATCCCTCTCGTTGGAGTCTCCACCTTATCGTGGTGAGGGGGTTTGAGTATGCCAAGGACCCTGAGAGCTATACCAGCGGTAGCGTAGCTACTGGCAGGGCCTCCCTTGCTGGACAGGTCAAAGGGTAGGCATCAGACGAAGAGAGACACCAAAAACTGATGCCGGAAGCAGCGNTGCGAGATGTTTCCTCTGGAGACAAAGATCGCATTAAGTGGAGGAACTGTTTTGGAAGAGACTGTGGACCTGTCGTCTGACAGATTACTGATAATGATGATGATGATGATGTACGTACATGCGACATCGGTTGGTTTTTTGATCCATATAAATATGTATTAGCTATCAAAATTCCTTTCTTAATTTTCTGAATGATATTATTATTACAATTCCTTAAGTGAGGGCTGGGATCTTAATATGATGTCTATACTGTCACGTGTGCGGTGTTGGCGTGACTAATAATAATGGACCACAGAGGCGGTCCATTGAAATAGTACTGACATTTTTAATGTTGTTTTATTTTGTTTCATACATTCTTGGTTTATTAAAGAGAACCGAGTAAGATGATAGATGAATAATGAATTGGAAGGAATGTGAAAGGAAGCGTTATCCTGGTATTTCCTAGGAGGAACTAATGAATATAACGAAAAATCTTGGCCGAACTCGAACTTGGGACCTTTCATTGCAAAGCTCTACAGTCATATTTGTGCAATTCTCCTTACGTTTATAATATTCTGCAACAGTATTAAATACAAACGAAAGCAGCTGGAAACAACTTCAGCACTTTCAAA